TAGTCATGCTCGGAACCGTAAAGTAGTAATGATCTTATGTAGTTATCAATTATTTTAACTGCAGAGGTTGTGCGCTGTCCATAGCTTATATTTCATATACTTAGCAGATTGTGCACTATATATATGCTATTGCAATACAGCCTACAATAAACAGTTTGGTTCTTATATCATTTGACCGAATACTTACCAAGTAAGTGAAAAACCTAATATCAGCTAATACCTGCCTACACAATTTGTTGATACTGACTTTTAGTCCAACTTTTAGTACTTCAAAGGCACTTTTTTAAGTGCCTTTTGTTGCATGTGTATGAGAGCCTTAAAATATCATCCGTTCGAATCCCCTATGGTAACAAGTAAATCATTGATTGTTATTGGCAAATCTAATGCCAGAAGTGAATTCAAAGGCTTTACTTCATTTTTTATTCATTATTACTTAACATTTAAGGCACTTATACGTTGTGTAGATAATATTTTATCTTTACATTCAACTTTCGCATAATCAAAACCAAATATAAAAAATTTCTTATGTCTTAATATTATAAAATAAAAATTTCATGACTTTTTTTTATATTTTAAATACATTTTTTTTAATTTAAATAAATATATTAAATAGTAAAGACTACAAAAAAAACGGTGTTTAAAAATTTAACAGCTTCTAAATTTATAATAACACTATAAGGGTTCATAAATAATTAACATCTTAACATGAATTTAAAACTTATATATAAATGTTTTAAGAGTTCATAAAAGAAATTATATTAATTTAATAATAAAATAATAATAAAATGGGAAATATTTATTAATGAATTAATGTATAAAGTTAAGTCAATATTAAAAATTTTTTTTTAATCAAAATTTTAGTAATTAAATTAATAATTCAATAAACTATTTAGTAATTTAATAATGATATTCGCTTATTGCTACAAAATACTTTTGTACATACCTATTCCTCAGACCTTTCTCAACGCTCTATCACTTTTAGTGGGATAACTACTACGGGGCCTTTCATTTAATTTTGAAATATTACTTAAACACCATTTTAAAAAAGTCAACCAAAATCGGTGTAAAGATTCTTTATATTTCCTTAGATAGGACTCTTTATAAATATCTTTATGACTGTTTTAAGTAAACACTAAGTACATTATACGGTATTATATGCTCCACTAGGGCATAAAATACTAACTATAATTTTGTTATAACATAAACACTTGCTAAAATTATAAATATATAATATATATAGACACTTTTTAAAAATTTAAAAGACTACATATATAAGAAAGACAAAAAAATACTTATTGAAGGAAAAAATAAATTATTAAAAAATATACAAAGTTTGAAAAAGTTGGCCAAGAAATATTTTTACAATAAACATAATTTATGTCCGAAAGAAGTCCATGGACGATTTCATTAACATGTAAAGCATTGCCTAATTTTGTATAAACATGCGTAGAAATATTTATCTCATAATTAACACATTATAAAAACATAATTATTTCAATTGATATATGTCTTAAATAAGTTTTAATATTATTATGTTAGTTGATACTGACTTTTTTTATATTAGAAGATATTTTTATTAAAAATCCTTGCAATAGAATTAGCAGAAGTCAGGGACTCCCATTCGCCATTATAAGCCCAGGAAATTTACATACTAGTACGTAAATAATAATCGGCTTAATAATATTTAAAAATATAAAAACATATTAAATTTCTATATAACAATATTGATAAGATGTCTATTGTTTAATAACTTGTTTGTTCACTTATTAACATATAAATGTAAAATGTATTCCAAATCTTCTGTGGTATAATTTTCGAAAAATAAACATAAAAATATGACATTTGAACAAAAATATAAATAATAATTAATGAATTTGCAAATACTAAAATATTTTATCTATTTATATATTCCTATTTAAATATCGATTTTTTGAATTTTTAGTATTAAAAGTTAAAACGTAAAAACATTTTGATGGTTAACAAAATTAATACAATTAGTTTCTTCGTAAAGCCGTCAAACCTTTTTTATTAAAATTCTATATTCCAGAAAACATTTATTGTTAAGCGCAAAAAAAAATTAATAAAATGGAGCAATATTTTAGTGAAACAGAAAATAATAAAAATAATAACAAAAAATAATAATTTAATTTTTTTTCAAGCCTAGTTCTTAGAAAAGCCCACAAAATAGAATAAAACAAGCCAGTCAATGCTGGCATTAATAAATAATTTTACTGAATTTAAATGCTTGATATACGGCGAAAATCTTAATGAGATTCAGTTTAGAAATTAACGAATTTACAAAAAATAAAAACATCAATAGTAAGGAGTCATCGACAGTCATGGTGCCCAAATAAAAGTTTTTTCTTGTATCACACCTAGAGTTTGTGTTAGTATCCATGAAATCCTGTTCTTTTTAAACTTTATGGGACTACACTTTCAATTTGGTTTTTGAGTATTCAATGTATAATGATTTTGGACATTTAAGCACCCATTTTGAAGACTACGATAACATCTAACATCGGGACTCGTTTCAACTCATGTTTATTTTCCTGACGCTGGAAACATGCCTACTCATAATTACCTAAAAGGTGTTCCAGAACACAAACTACAAATAGTCACTTTTAGTCTTTTACTTAAATATGCCACTATGGCACAATTGTGCCATTTGAGAAGCTTTATACGCAACATTTTTCCTAAAGCACTTCCACTCCAAATAGTTATAAGGATAAAATCAGATTTTGGTTTGGTATATATGGATGAAGTGTGTCCAGTTCTAAAGTTATAGCATTTTCAGTTGATTCAATACAGCCACTCCATATTAAAAATTACCATAATTTATAATGGCATCTTGTTTCTATATTATATGTATTATTTGATTTGGAAGAATCAAAATATCAATAAATGAACTTCTATACCTTCTTTGTTTTACTTGATAACTAACAAAGATCGCTTGGTTTGATATTTTTTAAAACACTTTATCATTTATCATGTGGATATGTCATTTCATTTATGGATTAGCTTATAAAACAATGGATTATTATTTAATATCCATTCAGTTTCTGTTATTCAAATAAATATTTATACATATAAGACATTTTCTGCATCTTTACTGAAAAACTCTCATATTCCAAATGTCTCAGTAATCCGGTTCGACTTGGATCCGGAACTTTTAAAAGATTTCGTGTAATAAGAATACATATTTCTAAAGGCCACAAAGATAATCAATGTCTTATAAAAATATGTTTTAATACAAACTTGTAAGCGCCTTTAAAATAATCAACAGACAAGTTCCAGTACAGATTGATTTGAAAAGCCTATAAAAATATATGTTTAAGAACATTAATCGCAGTTGGCGTTAATAGCTTAAAACCACTTTAACCTCGCTTAAAGATGTTTAACTAGAGTTGTAATGTAAATTACATCTTAACTGTGTATATTGTGTAGTTCCAGCTATAAATACTCATAAGAATATCTTAAAATTTGTTAGCTGCGTTTTATAGCTAGACTTATCATTAATAACTAATCTGTTTTAGCTGATTTTCATTCATTATTTACCATATATGTTGTAATATATATTTAATAGCTTTTCATGATATCATCATAGAATCCGCTTACGTAGACTTCGCTTTTAAACAGAGCCAATTTTTTAATTTGGATAATATTCGCAGAAAATCATTAAAAATGATTTGAACCGCTGTCTTCTATGAATTTTGCTAATTAAGTATGAAAGAGATCTTATAATGAAAAAATGTTCAGGCTTTTGGCATGCGTAATTAAATTATAAATAAATATCAAATACCTTCGGAATTGCGTTATTTTGGTAAATTAAATAATTTTTCAAAAAGTTTTACTGAAATTTCTCTTCGTATTTTGTAAGTCAAAGTTCATGTACTATTAAACGAATGAGAACAGTTATTTAAAATGGAAATAAATTGGTAATATAGGAAGCATGTCAAAACTTTGAACAGTTCTGTATAGAAAAAAGCACAAGATGTGCATTCACTTATATTAAAAAAATACGTATTCATTGTTTGTTTGTTATATCCACAATATGTGCCCATTCCACAAATATCAATCCACAAATATCTGTTGAGTCTTTATTTCTGAGAAGTGAACTTGACTTCGATTTAATTCAAGTATGACTCAATATTGATTCATCAAGAAAAGTGAACTATATTTTATATAGGCCTGATAACATTGATTAAAATTATAAAGATATAACTTGCGTTAAATACTAGCATGATAAAAAGGTTAACGAACTTTTAATAAAATACTCGACTCGATTAAATCGTCTAGATTTAATGATAAAAAAAAATTTACTCAGCTTAATATATGCCTCAAATATCCTTAACGAAAATGTTGTAGTATTCCTACCATCAAATTCTTTAGATCTAGACTATCCTCATCAACTGCATTAATACAATGTTAAATTAATATAATAACCACGATAAAGACTTTACTGCTGATACTGCTAAACTGCTAGAATGGAGGTGATCGACTACTGCTGCCTTTACATATTTATTTTGAATACTGTTGTATATCTTTTCATATTAATATTTGTTTAAAAATATTAAGTACCAATTTTACAACTAAATAAATTTATAAAAATAATTTAATTTAAATTTAAATTAAATTTAAAACAATTCAATTATATTATTTATTAAAATTTTTTAGGAGAGTACATACTCATCCTAAAACTATGCTATGGCATTACAATGAAATGTTTCTTTTATTAACAGAATGTTTATACCATTAACATTTCTTAATTAAATATGTACTGAACAAATGTTATTTACTTTTATGCAAACTGTTAGAATATTAAATTAATAATGGCAAAATATTAATCTGATATGATCAAAAATAAATGATACGTTTCATTTCGATCATTTAATTAAATTAATAAAACCGCGGCAAGTGTTGACAGTTAATCGTGCAATTTTTACCACAAAAGAGCAATGTTTAGCCAAAAAATTCTGCAGTTTTGTGAAATATTTTGAACATTGCGAAACGGTATAAGATAAAAAGGAAGGTTAAACAACTATAATGGATCAATTTCAAATTATACTTCACTTAACAGCTGCAATTTTCCTTTGTGTACTGATAAATCCTTCAGTAACACAAGCCGATGATATTGTACAATTTCCATATGAAGCAAAGCCTTGCTCCTGTGTTCTGTTGACATGTACTTGTTGTCAAGGTGTCCTTGTGACTCCTATATCTTTTTCTAAAACAGGTGAGTTTGAAAAGATCGAATAAATAAATTTTAAATAATTTTCTCATTTGTAGTCTGCATGACATTCAAAATAAGCATTTTACCAATTAAAGCTGATATAACTATCAAACTGGATAACAGCACTATTGCAGCTTTTGTTGTGGACCCCAAGAATCCTCCAAATTACTGTATACCCATACCAGACTCAGTTCCAGTAGCTATGTGTGCTAAGTTACACGACATCAAACTGATTGGATTGACTGCTCTACAAATCTGTTCGACTTTCTATGTCAACTACGAAACAAATCAAGTTTTTACCAACAAATTTCCTTGTATAAAGCTTAGCACTACTGGCATTGATATGATGAGTAAATAATTTTGTATTTATTACAACATCAATATCATTGTAAATAAATATATGTTGAGTGTTATGTATGGGAGTATATAAATATATATCATGTATTTATGCTCATCCTTATATTTCCTAAAAATTAACCGTGTTTCATTAAAGTTCAATTTTTAAATATTAATTAATTGCATTTACACATAAGGCAATTGAGCCAATTTTTTGTACATTCACGAAAAGATAGTTTTCATATAATATAAATGACTTTCACTTTCCTTACAGAATACAGAATAACGACTATTTTTGTTCTTTGGCAAAGTTTTCTCTAAAACAATTATTTATTATTTATTATTTTATCACTATTTTATCTATGAAAATTTTTGCTTTCTCCTCATTACCCTCCGAGACAGTCGCAGTGACATTTAAGCTGTTCTGTTTTTCCTCCATGAAGTACTTCATTACTGTTCGCAGCAACTTAAAGTTAGTAAAGCCTTCTCAGCGAAAGAAATCATTTATGGTTTTCATTTATCATGTCATATCATCATATATCATTTCATTTGATTTTCGTTTATAAAATCATTTATCTACAAAATCATTTAAGCAAAGACAACCAGTCGAAAGTTAAGAAAAGACGATAGCTGATTAGTTGGTTGCAGTGGGAAGTCAGCAGATATCCTTCTGCTGTCCATAATTTGTGATTATTCGCAATTTTATATTTTATGGAAGAAATCTAAAGAGATAAGACTAGATCCATCCTACTATATCTAAGTAAATAGCCTTATCTTCCTTCTTTACCGATGAACAATCCAACTAAATGTCAAAAAAAAATCCCTCCCAAAAACCTGTCCCTTCTGCAATCCAAAGCAGCACAGTCAAAGAAAAAATATTTGATTGTTCGTTTTTCCTGTATGTTTTCGTGACTTCTACGGAGACGATGTACACATATTGATAATAATATGAAATATTGGTCTTATTTTCAGATAACCATACTTGGCTTCTAAAAATAACTCCAAACTTAAATTGTTAGACATTTATTTGAAGCATTCAAGCAACATTTTAAATTCTAATATATTTAACATGCATTTAACATTTTTGACCAATAAGCCAAGTTCCCTTCAGAACAATACAAATTGTTCTAATGTTTTGTAATTGAAGACCAAAAAATGGGGTAAAAACCGTCGAAGCGTAAGAACGCCAAGTAACGAAACCAATTCGAAAATGAAAACAAAGTGAAAGTATCAATGGGTAAAAAAATCTATGCGAAAGTTTGACAAAGAAGAAGACTTTAAAAGAATTTTAGAATTACAACAAATCGAAGGGGATTCCACTGCAGCATTGCATAATTGTCAACATGACACAATGCCTAAGCCTTTGTACTGCACAAAAGGTACGAGTAGCACAAAAACAGAACCCCACACATTGTCGGTGTTCTCGGATGATGTGCATTATGCATTATGTCTGGTTGTGTCCGCTTATGCTTTATACTGGTAATTGTAGACGCCATTCCGTAATACCCACCCAACCACACCGCACTACACCACACAAAATCAATATAGAAAAACTTGGAACATTGACAAGAGTGAAAACGCCCAGATTTGCTGAAGACATTGCATTGCATTACGAATTTCATTAGCAAATAATTTACATGGAATTCCATTCTCGCCGCTTGAGTTCTCGTACATTCGGCAAAAGGTACTCGTACTTAGACAAATATTTGACATAAGCAGCTTTCAAAGCAGACGAAGAAGATAGTACCGTGGAGTAGCAGAGGAGGAAAGAATAAACGGAGAAGTTATGCATTACAGAATGTTAATAATTTATAAATAGAAATCGTTATGGGAGGTTTTTGGGTGCTCATATACCTTGCAATTGAGCGAAAATTTGACAGTGTGGATGGGTGTGGGAAGTATTTGTTAAACTCCACACAAAACGGAAGTCGTCTCTATGCAGCAAATTGCACTTTACTTCCGTTAAAATGCCGCATTGGTCGTTGTCGGCATTTTGTATGCCGTAACAAAATAAACAAAGAAGTCGAGTGACAATAGTCGATTTTTGAGTTCATTTGAGTGTAAATTTCTCTTAAAAGTTCAAATATTATAATGCGCTCTTAAGTATGTCTTATATTATGCTCAATATAATTATTGAGAGAAATTATAAGTAAATTGCTTAGAAAATCATAAAGAATCGAAAACACAGTATCTCAATATATATAATATGCTATATAGTCGTATATCTTTCAATACCATGTCAGACTTATGAGGAATAAAGCTTCTAGAAATCAGTCGGCGTCATTAGCATTATTTTCTTTTTAAAAACATTTCATTTTTACACTTCATTTTATTTTAATTTTTTTTTTCCTTTCCAAACTATAGAAATGGCGAAGACATATAATTTATTCATCTATATTTTTTCTATATTTTTGGGAGATATCATGTAGCTCCAATGATTAGAGAAAGATTTGTATAATTAAAATATGTACTGTTAATGATACTTGCTTGTGTATTTATGTTTCCCCTATTTTGAATATATAGCAACTACATTGAATGACTTCATCTACTGACATTTGAACTCAACTGTATGACTAGCACCATTTATTGACTGTTAATAGATATCGGCTTTCCACTATGATTTCTATTAGAATAACTGCTTCCAAATATATTGATAGTATGTACATTATCTATTGTTTGAACTATAGAAATGGTAAAATATATTATTTTATTTTAATTCATCCTTGTCTTTCCAAAAACTTGTATTTATGTTTATTGGAATATGTTTACTAAACTCAAGTCTTATCAATTCTTATTAAAACAACAAATTGATTTCATTATAAGCTTTGTTTTTATTTAGTTATTGTTTTTTTAGTGCAAAAGATGAAATACCTCGACAATATGCACTCTAATACTGGTGAACCATATCTTGCAAATGGATATCACATATTATAAGGTAACAATACATGATTCTTAAACGATGCATTTAGGAGACCCAAAGATAATACTTTAAAATTCGCTATAATGCTAAATTAAAGTAGTTCTAAAATATTAGGACTATTGTATCTCTTATCAAAATTCAATTTATAGGATAACTTGATCGCGTTATTCGAAAAGTAGTTCACAACAAACTAAGCGAATTTTTAAAGAAAAATAAAGTAAATCTGTTAAAGAATAGATCAAAAGATGTAATAGGAAATCTAGCAAGGTCATTAAAAATGTACCAGAGATATATGAGCTCTACATATACATTGCAGAAATATTGTAGATGTGGATCTAATGTAACCGGTTTATAAAAGCTCAGTCTGATCGCAACTTAAGGTTAAACATTTTATATATTTTATTATATTTTAAATATACATTTTATATATATTTTCTTTTACATATTTTTTTCAATATATAGGATAACTTGACCGCGTTATTAGAAAAGTAGTTCACAACAAGCTAAGCGAATTTTTAAATAAAAATAAAGTCAATCTGTTGAAGAATGGACCAAATGATGTCATAGGAATACTACCAAGGTCATTAAAAATGTACCAGAGATATATAAGCTCTACATATACATTGCAGAAATACTGTAAAGGTGGATCTAATGCAAACCAGTTTATGAAAGCTCAGTATGATGACATTTTATAAATTTTTCCCTCTATTATTGATTTATATATAATATTTTTACTTTTTGTTTTTAGTTTTTAACTTTTATTTTAATTTTTACAATATTTTTATAAAAATGATTTCAGTTCATTTTTTTATTAAAGATATAAATAATTTATTCATTAAATCAATAATATTTAATATAAAAAAATATAGCATTTGATGAACAACTTTAAGTCTCTCTTTTTTACGTTCCTACTAACACTCTTTATTCACTCATTTAACCAGAATTTCCACTCAACGCAGTAATGTAAATAAGACGAATGAATGCCGTATTCATTTTGTAAAATGAACCCAACCAGCAACCAACAGCGTTGCAGCACAAAGTGTGAAATACGTGCGCTCAGTTTATGTCGGGCTGTCAAATGGTGAAGCGGTGAAGTCGAGTCGTTGTGGGATATGCAAGATACGTGTCGAGTGCGATTGATGCAGTTTTTTGTTATTTTTAATTTTTAAAGTTGTAAAATGAAAATAAACAAAAATAGAATCACATTAATTTTTAAAAAGTTCATGACAAACCTAAACTGAACCAAGTGCATATACCCGTGCCCCCACGTCGCGTCGAACGTTGAACGCGCCCGGTGCAGTTGCTGCCTCATGTGCCACTGCAACGTTACCGCTGTGTGGGTGATTATATTTAATATCTTTCAATCATTTTTTGATATTTAAAAAATTTAAAAAAAAATTAAAAAAAAATTAAAATTAAAATTAATAACAAAAATTATTCACAGTGTAAACATGGTTTAAAAATGCTTAAAGGAAACTTACATGAAACTCGTTTGAATAACCTCCGTCGTCCGTAGTGGAAATTAAAAAAAAAAACAATGCAATCATCAGATAATTTAAATAATTAAAAATAAAAAAAATTAAATTGTTTATAATCTGTTTGAAAAGCTTTTATTTATAAGTTGTTAAATGAATGCTTGTTATTGTTGTTGCAATTAAATCGTTAAATGTATTCACTTAATGCATATTCTTTTAAAACGAACTTTACAATATATTTTTCACGTAATATAATTATTACTAATATTTGTGATTTTTATTGATTTTAATAGAAAGATAGACATTATAGATATATTAATAAGTGTATATTACCATGATTCATGCTAAATATATTTATTTTATGGAACTAGAATAAATCATCTGACTAAATTTTAGCTCTGTATTCTTGGTAGAAAAGTTTTTATTCAATTAGATTTTTGCATATAAAGAGTTACTAAATTTTTCAAATTTGAAATAAAATGATTTTTCACAACTCAGGATATACTATATGGATAGAATAGCATTATTTTTATAAAATTTTCAAAAACAATAAATATTATCTTCCTTTCTTCCTAGACTCAGAGTATATTGTATTTAATTGAACAGTATTTTTTTAAAAAAATGTTTTCATATAATATACGTCATTATGCTATCCTCCTTCTTCCTACGCATAACAATCCTTAAAATGATAGAAAATATACCATATTTACGGAATGGCATATGATATATATTATTATTGACCTCGTTATACAATCCTACAAAAAAGTATAAATTAGAATATACAACAACGATAAAATTGTATTTCTTTTATAAACCATTCAAAATGATGAATGATATACCCTATTAACGGTATGGTATATTTTTTCATAAAATATTCACAGATGATATATGATATACACTTGTATATAGATTTCTTTATCTTCCTAGGCGATGCAGTCTTTCAAAAAGATTTAGATACATACACCACATTGATAGAATTTAATTTTTTTTTAAAAGGTCTTCAAATAATATATTAAGAGTATTATAAAAATACTCTTCTCTTTTTAAACATAACAGCCTTGCAAAATGAATAGACATATAGCTCAGAATGCACCGTAGTAACAGAATGGCTTAAAATTTGTACAATGTACCTATATAAAATTTTAGCACCTTCCTTCTTCCTTGGCGTAGCAGTCTACGAATCTGTCACACAAGTCGCATGATAGCTTCTCATGCTACCCGTTTTTTTGTTTTTACTCTCTCGTTGCTAACGTAATATATTTTATTAGTCATTGTGTTGTCCATCTTTTAAATACATCTTTTTCTATTCCTTGGTAACGTAAACATTATCCGCCCTATTTTATTCTTTATTCTCTATATATATTGATACCTTACTTTGTACATAATATCGTTTTGAGGGCCAAAAATCTTTCGCATGTTATTTATTGTTAAAACTTTCTTTATCACTCTCTCTGCTATTTTCTGTCTATATGGTTTTAGATACATATGTTATAACAGGGTTTTTAAGATAAATTTTGTTTTTTCTTGATTAGATTGTGTCAAACAACCATACATCAGTTTATAATCTTTAATGCATTATTTTTAATTGGATTCTTAATTTTGTTTGTACTTAGAATATCTTAGTTTAGCTTTATAATAACAAATCGATTGCATCAGAAGTGCTCTAGATCGGGAACAGAATTTTGAAGACATGCCAGACTTAAACTTTTTACTTTGATGTAAATAGATTAAAAATGAATAATAATGAACCATTGATATTTAGACTCAAATATATATTTTTTGTTTTCCAGTCTATAATTGGTACTAGTTATAAAGATATGGCTTGTATAAATATAGAATATATTTCTAAAAATATTCATTACAAAACCTTAACATTAGTAAAGTTTTCAATATTAATCAGAAACATATTACAAAACTTACAGTAGATAAATAGATCCTTTTTATTTTTTAACATAACAGAACTTAGTAGACTTATGCATTCCTAGCCAATCTATTCCACTTCTCCTAACTTGATGCACTGGCTCTTCAATTTTGCACACATAATTTGTTAAGGTTACCTTAAACATCAATGATCTGTCCTTTTTCTTGTCATGTTTATATTTCAATAATCTGCGCTATTTGGTGCCCTATTTTCCATTTCTTAAAGCTGCATTCCTTATATATATTGAGCCATCTCAGATGCTAAAATTTGCTATATATTACCGTGATATATGTGTATTATGTAAGGTCTTGATTATGTTAGATTTGGTTAAGCTCACCAATCAGCATTAATCCGTATACTTTCCGAAGCACTTGTGTTCTTCTCTAATATACAAAGAAATGATTTATTTACTATGATTTACTAGTTCATATTTCCCATCAGTATGTATTTAAACTTATACATGTCGAATTTTTGTTTTGGTTTAGTTCAAGCTTTAAAAAACTTTATACACTTAAAGAAAGTTCAGTCCATAGCGCCTACTCTATCAAGTAATGTTACAGTTCATAGTTTTAGTTTTTAAGTCATCCCGATGAAAACAAGTTCTTGTTTAAAGTTCCATCTGAGACTCAAATTCATATTTTATATAGCTAAGAACACCATAAAACAGTCTAGTGGATTTCTAAATCTTTTATAAAGCTTATCTATATAATAAAAATAGATTTTTTTAGGAAGTGCTTTATGGTAAATGCTTCAAATATCTATTCTTATAAATTTGATGTAAATTATCTCTTCGTTGTTTTCATATAAATATTAATGATTAAAATATTTATCATTACCTAAACGCTATTTTAATAAAAATTAAATTGGCAAATGCAAACCAAAATTCATAGAATGAATACCTAGTAACCATTCATACTATATGCCTTGTGAGCAATAGTCAATCTGCAAAGTTAAAAAGATTTGAGGTTTTAAAACTACCAAATATAATGTAACTTATTGTAAATAAACTGTTATGAGTAATAATGATTGTAAAATAGATAGTTTTAATGAACATCAGCTATTTTTATGACTGTCTTCTGCAAAAACTTCGCTTATTGCAAATATAATGAAACATAAAATAAATATTATTTAAAAAAATTTGTTTTTGTAAACTTTATTTATTATTCTTTTTCAAAATATTTGTATATTTTTTATTACTGCAATTATCTATCAATTACTTGGGTCTTAACAAATCGCTTAAACAACTCGATGACATCATTTTTGTAATATTTCAAATATTTCAATAACATAAAATCTTGTTTTATATACTAAATAGTATCGGTAATAATTATTAATAATTTTTCCATTAATTATTAATCAAAACATTTAACAAAAAAATTTGATCACGTATCTGAAATCCACATTCTAATGATGAAATTGGCATGTACAAAAATTCTAAATGCAGCTTTGATAATTGTTTGCGATCTTGTTGAGTTCTGGCCTATTTGCCTCAATAGAAAAGTATCTCAGATCTCAGCTACTGAAGAACACAACAAATCGAACGGATCAATTGAAAAATCATTTGCTACGTCATAAATTTAAGACTTGTAATCATTTCAACATGCAACAACAATAATAACGAAAGCATAATTTTACTAATTTATCTTTGGAATTTGTTTATTGCAGCCACGAAACAAGATCAAAATGTACAGTACGTAATCGATGAACTTTTGTAATCAATTTAAGCAAAACAAACGAGCTCGAGTGCGCCTAAGTGTAACCAATAAGATAAGAGAGAAGAAAAAATTTTAAAACAAAAAGTGTAGATACTATAAACAAACAGTTATAAAATTAAAATTGAAATATAAATAAGCAAAACACTATAATGAACCATAAACCTTTCACTTATAACGAAGTATGAAAATCACAAAAATAAGCCAAAGCGAATTGTGTGTAGACGGCCGACCGCTTGTCTATGCTAACAAAATGTAGTGTGATTAATCGACGAATTGCGGGAAAAATAGTACAAACACACCCTAAGCTCAGTTCAATATATCGGTTTCATATAAAAACAACAATTCACAGCTGTTGATTTTGGTTAATTCAGTTTTATACGAAACAAGTGCGTCCGAAACAAATGCAAATAGTGAAATTGAACGCCCTAATGTGCTTACAACTAACGAAACGAGTTTGTCGTTATCACAGTCTCCGTACATAACTTGGTGATGCAGTTAACCCATTTAGACCCAAATAGACTCTCACCCAAAATATAACAACAACTACAACAAATACAACGTCCACAACGTCTACAACAATCACATCAAACCAAACAAACTGAGCTGAAATGAAGATGCTTAAAGAATCATTTTGAGAATAACGAGGTACGCGGTGAGGTGTATAGAAAATATTGTTTTGAACGCAAATTACCGCTTGCCGTGCAGAGACGTTAATAAAGCGTAAAAAACAAGTTAAACAAGAAGTTAAGTCGAAGACAACACATAACATAAACAATCTCAACTACAACCAAAACAATAACAACATCGAAAACCACAACAAAAAGTGACCTACAAATACGAGTTTCGGATTTTGCTTAAGAATCACGAACTACGGTTTAAACGGCAAAAGCTTAAAACCAGCCGAGTTTGCTCTTTTTCATATGCACAACCAGACATCATAACGTGCTGAGCGTATAATATTTACAATGGCAGCTACTCAAACGGCAACCATAACGACAACAGTTAAGAAGCCTGGTCCACCAGTGCCGCCTAGACCGCAACATACCAGCGCCGCAGCGAGTTTATTGAAATCGCAACGAGAATCAATTACGAGTGCAAGCGTAAGTCGTGCTTCGGCAGTAACCAGTTTAGCAAATGCTAAAGCAAGACCAATTGCACCAACAACTGCAACAGCAACAGCAACAACAACTGGAACAACAAATGGGTCAGAACAGCCGCCTTTGGTGCAAAGAAAACACTCATTGTCAACACAAAGTGCTGCAGACGGGCGCACCATAATCTACAAATCGCCAGCTACGAGTTTGCAACAGAAGCAGGAGGAACGTGAAAAACGTTTGTCTGGTGCTACAAAAGTACAAAATGGTACACAAACGACCTATGCAACCAAACCACCACTGAAGCTGCGAAAAGCACCCGATGTGCCCAATATTAAGCCAAGAGTTGCTAACAAAACTGAAATAGAAAATAATAAAACCGAAAAAGTCATTGAAGAAGTTGCTAATGAAACGAAATCTATAGACTCGCCCATACAACAACAGCAAAAACAACAAAATGTGGACTCAACCACCAATATGAACAGTGATAATAATAAGAAAAATATTGTTATAGTGCAGGCCACAAATGTTGTTAACTTAAGTCGTCATCATTCGATGGGTTCTCCTAAGCCAGTTACCTTAAAACCCACACGATTTAGTTTAGGCAAAGCAGATTTTGAACGTCCCGGAAAAGTACAATTACGTGTCGATCAATTGCAGCCAAGTCAACCATTACCGAAACCACGTAAAATTGTGAAAATGCCAGTTGCCACATTAGATTTGGAGGATGAAACGAAAAATACAACTTCCAATACAACAACTGGCATTAGCCTGTTCCGTCGCTCGAAGACAACTCTTGATAATATAGCAGCACGTGCAAGTATCACAAGCGTGAATAGTGAAAAATCCACAACTAATAGTTTCCTAAGCGGTAAAACTGTAGAACTTAAAAATAATCTCAAAAACGCAGCCGAACGCTTGTTCTCAGAAATTATAGTCAATCAACAGAAACAAGCCATTGAAGCTCCCACAATCATAACCAAACATGAACGTGCAATACAGCATCAGGCGTTGCTTGAACAGGAATTAGCTGTGGAACAACAGCGTCGTCTACAACAAGCCACCATGGAACAAACAATACGCGTCATATCGAGCACGCCAACCAGAGACTTAGTTAACCAGCAAAATTATACACGCATTAATATTAATTCGGCAGCTACAACTCCAGCGAAGTCTAAGCCACCAATCGAAACTTTATTAAATTCTCCAGAGAAGAAAGCCGCATTTCATGAAATGCTCATCTCAGAATTGGCAGCTATGCGTAATCGTTCAAGTTCAATGGAGAATTTACGCTCTAAGGATATGAGTATTTTTGATAAAAATCATGCTCAGATGCCTAAGTTAGAAAAGATTTTCAATAAAACAAATACGCGTCTACGTTGTAACTCAATAGAAGATCATGATCCAGATACAGAAGATGTTGATGAGGATAATGTTGAGGACGCGGATGGTGAAGAAGATGATTTAAATAAGCATATAATAACAAGTAATAAGAGCACACCGCGCAAACGTTATCCTTCCGGTTGCTCTTCGGATTCTTCACCTTATGGTACTGAACGATCTACACGCATACGCACCTCTGATTGGATTGAAGTTGGTGATAACGGCAAACAAGTTACTTTAACTAGTTGTCATATAAGCTTAGAAGATTCGGGCTTGGAAGATGAGGAACGTTTAGACGATATGTCCTCCTCGGGTGTTGGTGATTCATGGGATAGCGTAAAGGAGGCAGAAAATGAGAAACGAAGTCGTAACGTTAAAAGGTGAGTTCAATTTTTACTGAAAGATTTTTTTTATATTGTATGCCTTATATTAATGAAAAGTATTATATATATATATATATTAAAAATAAACATTGTATATGAGACAATGTAGAGTGATTATAAATCTTTAGTAATAACATACGTTTACAGTACAAAATAATATAATCTCTGTACTTCTAATATTTCCATATTCTTCCAATAAACTCGAAAATCGTCTTGACACAATTTTTTGTAGAAATGTTTTCAAAATATGAATTCTCTGATATTTTTTTCCAGAGGTAGCTTTATATGTTATGCCATATCTTGTATTAGAAATGACCGATTAACAAGTTTCAAAAATTTTTCAATTACATTTTTAGTAAGATCCAGTCAGCTACTACAAATATTCTCTGAAATGAACTGTTTGTTGATTTAAGACTGAGATTTGTTGCGGAAGAAAACCAAGTTCTTATTGAGCACTTTAAGTACATATATTTACATAATACGCTTGTAAAGTTAGATCTATAACAATAAATGTCAATTCTTCCCTTTTAAGGACTGTAGCTCATAACGTCAAACGATTTGAACGCTTCGTTGTCAATTATACCTTTCCAAATTTATCTTGTGAGACCTTTTGGGTCTCACAAACGATTTGAACGCTGTATAGGTAGTATTGTTTGCATAGTTTTATTAAATGCCTACCTTTACAATATAAGCTTGTTTTGTGAATTTTCTATAGTCTACGATTTGCGCTTGTCCAATTTATAACCGATATGCGACGTAAGCAGAGATTTAGGATTTGTCAAATTTTTGACAATTTGACAGATTTGTCAAATTCTTTAATAAAATTTTTGGTTTTTATAAAGCAGAAAGCTTTTTGGTATTCTGGACACATCTTGACAAATTTGAAAGCTCAAGTACCTAGTGCTTCTCACCACACTATGGTGTAAAGTGTTTTGTATAGAAAACTGTTCGTAATTGTTCGTAACTGTTCGTAAAAGATGCTTGTAAAGAGCACATATTTTAAGTTGCCAAAAGCATTTTTCATGCATTCAATTAACAATAAAAAATATGCTTGTAAAGAGCGTATATTTTAGTTAAGAATATTTGTCATGCATGCAAAAAATAAAAAATGTTTAAAAAGAGCATATTTTAATAGTTGTCCAATACCAAAACCCTTACTGCAGTCAATTTTGACAAGTGTCAATGTTTGACAAGTTTATAAAGTGCACAGAATAGGTCCGATAGCATACCTACGTACATAGGTTAGGTTGTACCGGCGATCCCAGGGGGATCCACTTTGGCGTATAGGCCCATTGTGATAACTTATATACATAACATTTTTGAAATAACTTTGGACTTTGTTCGTTTTATCCAGAATTTCCTACTATTACCATATTTCAACAGATATCTATTATTGATATATAAACATCAGTTTATCGATAGGAAAAATTCCAGTAAGTCAACAGAATCATAAATAAAATGAATTACTAAAGTCAGTTAAAAAACCCCGAACATGTGGTCAACATTATGACGTCCTTTCACTCCAATACGATTGATGCACGATTTCCAAACAAAAGAGGAAACAGTAGGGCATGCCAAGTGTTTTATTGTAAATTTTATCTGTTGTCTGCAACAAAATCAATACTGCAAACCTTTTTCTTTTGTACTCGGCCGATAAGATAAAAATGTCAAAGATTAAATATTTATCTACCTGGAGATTTTTTATACACACTGCAGGTATGCACACTTTTTATTTAGTATCTGTGGCGTGGCGTAAACCCAATGTTTTTTATGTTAAACATAATGTTCAAAGAAAAAAAAAAGAAGAGGAAAAAAGTATTTAGATACTTTATTGTATTGTATTAAGTCTCACTGAGTTTTTCGCTGTCTGCCGCATTGTAACTGTTGAAGCAACTTTTCTACATTATTTCTGCTTATGAAAATGTATTTCATTTAAATTTTTTATTGTTACATTTTTTATTGTTGCATGTTTTTGTGTTATTTTTTCTAATATCTTTTTCTTGTAGTTTGTTGGTTTTATCGTAAATAATAATTTTTTCCTACTAAACAATTAAGTTAATTTGAACATAAATTTGAATTTCTCAACAAAGCCGCCACCGCGACGTGTGAAATATCGTTCACCCACTTCGCAACGCCTGTCATGTGCACTTTTCTTCGTTGAAGCGCAAGCTTTTGGATTGACATGCTTCACATTCCATGGCAATTATTAGATGCAAATTTTTGTAAAACTATTCACACGTAACTATACGAAAAGCGGCTTATAACTTAGTCGTACGTATATCTGTCACTCTTTAACTCCATACACTGGTAACACACTTTCGGCCGTGCATTAACTGTGCAGCAGATCCGAAATACCACTGGTGTCTTCTGCATATCGTCGTATTTGTGCATTGGCGGCACTTCAACTCAATAAAATATAAAAAATATTTCATACCAGTTACTGTATTTATTTATTTATTTAGTTTTGAATATTAATTTAAATAAAATCTGCCAATTCGAGAAATAAAGCCACATAACTCGTTCGTCAAGCACTAGGAGTGCCCGTGCCAATGGTTCGTTGGATTCCCTTATTTGTTTTTAAATTACCCGGATTATTGAAAGCCTCTTCTGCGTGCCAACTTGTGCAGTGCAAGATTTGTGACTCATATCATTTGGTATTTATTTGTCAAGTTTTTGTTATTATATTAAAATTTATTCATATTTTTTTTTTTTTTATCAATTTTACTGGTACTTTTGTGTTTTTATTTAGCAAGTAAAATTTTTCACAAACTTACTGAAGCGTATCTTATATCTACTCGCATTTGTATTCATACAATTTATCGTATATCAGCATCGGCACAGGCGAATAAGGTTAACTAATTGTGAGCTTATTGATTACTCATGTGCATATTTACTTTGCTTTTTATTTATATTTCCACTGAAATGTGTTAAATAAATAAATTTGTTTAACAAACACACATATTCCTTATATTATTCCGTAGTTCTGATAAAAAAAGGGGTTCTCGGAGCAGTAATTTTTTGTAAATATATAAGGCATAAAGTATAAGAAATATGTACACAATTATTATGAAATTTACAATCATAATACAGACAATACAATTATCTTTTAACTATAGTGGAATAATGTTTTATAATTGCTAATAGTATAAAATATTTATTATTTACTAGTTTGAATAATAATTGAAAAGATAAAACTATAATACTATAAATATAAATTCATTATTCAAAACAGTATATATACTTAATGTGTATCAATGATGTGACTCCATCACCAGTGTTGATATTACTTGATGAGATTTTAGTGTCTTGAAACCTTTCTCGCCGCCTGCCAAGATGAGTACTCCTTGATTTCACTATTTATGTTTCAATATTCAAAACAGTATATTTACTTAGTGTGTATCAATGATGTGACTCCATCACCAGTGTTGATATTACTTGATGAGATTTTAGTGCCTTGAAACCTTTCTCGCCGCCTGCCAAGATGAGTACTCCTTGATTTCACTATTTATGTTGGACATTGAAATGAGCACATCTATTGATCGCGTATGTTTCTGCATAGAAGATGATAGCTTTTTCTCCACGATGTTCTAGTTGTCTTGTAAGTGTGTTACTCCCTTATCAATGAGTGAGTCATCAATGTATCAATATATCAAATACCTGTTTTTCTTGTCGTGGTTTCAAATATACTTTTTCATCCATTATTGTTACTAAGTTTAGTCTAATCTATTCATATAACTGAATACACATCCTTCGGTGTTGATAATTTAAGACATAGTTTCGTAAGAAGCTCAGACATTTTAAATCAGTTATCACGTATATTTACTAGATTATGAAAGTTATATAGCATTTTGTGCATATTTTATGCTAAGGCTTAGTACTAAACCCGGTCATCTCAAGAAGGCCGGTAAGAAGTTTGGAAGGAAATAAAACATTGCCAAATAAGTTTTCTATATATATTTTTCTATATATATAATTTTTACACATTAAAAAAAACAAAAAAAAATATTATTTGGGTGTCTATTTCTTTAATGTAACTAAATTTTTGTTATTATTATTATTTCACTACTCGTTTGATGGA